GTGGTGTATCATCCCTCCTTCCAGTTTTGTGTCATCAGCAATCTTGCTGAGGGTACACTCTGTCCCCTCATCAAGGTTGTTGATGAATATGTTGAACAAAACTGGGCCCAGTATTGACCCATGGAGAACATGCTACTCACAGGCCTCAAACTAGATTCCACGCTCCAGACTGCAACCCTCTGAGCTCTGCCATTTGGCCAGTTATCAATCCACCTCACTGTCCACTCATCTAACCCACACTTCCTAAGATTGCCTGTGAAGATATTAGGGGAGACATAATTATGCCCTCTCTGGGCAGCCTGTCCCAGTGCTCTGTCACCCTCACAGGGAAGAAGGGTTTCCTCATGTTCAGGTTGAACCTTCTGTTTTCCTGTTTATGGCCATTGTCCCTAGTCCTGTCACTGGACACCACTGAGAAGAGCCTGGCCCCATCCTCCTGACACCCACCCTTTAGATATTTATAAGCATTGATAAAATGCCCCTCAGCCTCCTCTTCTCCAAGCTAAACAGACCCAGCTCTCTCAGCCTTTCCTCATATGGAAGGTGCTCCACTCCATCTTAGTGGCCCTGCACTGGTCCCTCTCCAGTAGTTCCTTGTCCTTGAACTGAGAAGCCCAGAACTGGACACAGTACTCCAGGTGTGGCCTCACCAGCGCAGAGCAGAGGGGGAGGATAACTTGACTCAACCTACTGGACACACTTTTCTTAATGCACCCCAGGATGCTATTGGGCTTCTTGGCTGTGAGGGCACACTGTGGGCTCAGGGTCATCTTGTTGTCCACTAGGACTCCAAGGTCCTTTTCACCAGAGTTGACCTCCAAGAGAGCAGCCCCCAACCTGTACTGGTACATGGGGTTGTTCTTCCCCAGATTTAGTACTTTACACTTGCCTTTATTGAATTTCATTAGATTTCTCCCCGCTCAGCTCTGCAGCCTATCCAGGTCATGCTGGATGGCAGCACAACCTTGTGGCGTGGCATCCTCTCCTCCCAGTTTGGTATCATCAGCAAACTTGCCCAGAGTACATTCTGTACCTTTGTCAGGTCATTGATGAATATATTCCTCCATCACCCGTGTCGAACAGAAACCTCCTGGACTGTGCATGCTTGGTGGTATTGCCTTTCAGTAAATACCAGGGTGGTTAAAGAACCACGGTCTACAAGCAGGAGGCTACTTCCAGCTGTCTGGCGAAGGCCTCACTGACTTTCTCTTCGTGATCAGGTGACCTGTAGTAAACACCCACAACAACGTTCCCATATTGGCCTGCCCTTTAACTGTTACCCATAAGTTCTTGGCTTGTTCTTCGTCCACACCTAGGCAGAGCTCAGTACATTCCAGTTGCTCTTTCGCACAAAGAGCAACTTTACCATCTCATTCCGCCGGCCCATATTTCCTAAAAAAGAAGAAACATGTTTTTGAGGGCAAGACCAAGAAGAACATAATGAAATTTAATGGTATTATATAGTAAAAGCTATGTTGCAGGACTAATTATAAGACTGAATTATGTTCTCGATCAGATTGTTTAGTTTTATTTAGTCCTGTGAGGAACAGGGAGTTGGACTAGATGATCCCTATGGAGCCCTTGCAACTCAAGATATTCTATGATTCTATGGCAACTCTGGTCTCATTAATTTGGAAGTGTCATTGAAGGAGAATGTCCTGGATATATTAGTCAATCATAGATGAATCAACAGTGTGATGTAATCTGAAAGAAAGAAAAGTTGTAATTCAAAAAGATGGTGATAAAAATCTCATCTGGAATGTAGGTGGGTTTCTGGTCATCTGTGGTGAAGGAAGATAAATTCAATTTCTAAAATGTGCTTTCCAAAACTGTAAAAGTTGTCAGAGAAAAAAACCCACAAGAATTGGAGTGATTTAGAGGTGACTAAATTTCAGCAAGAAGTTAGAAAAAGTGTGTTCTGGGAGAGTCTTCCATGTGGAAAAACACATCTCACATAATTTTATGATGTAAATCAGTATGACTAAACTCATCATGCCAGAGATCTAAAGCTGTGTGTCCTTCTCAACTCCGTTCCCAGAAACATAAACCTCCACATGTTGTACCTGATTTTTGACATACCAATCAAAATTCTATAAAAATTCTTTAATACCAGAAACAGGCTGGGGTGTCCATATAATGATGTCTTCATCTTGCATTTTTTTTTTTTCTGGTTTCCTTTCTTAGTAAAGATGAATAAATATTGGAAAAAGAGTAGAAAAGCACTCAGTTAACAGAGTCACAGTGCTGCCTAACAGATATGAGGCAAAACTAAGGCTGTGTTTAAAGTTAAAAAGCCTGTGACAGTTTTCTTTTTCAGTTTCTTTCCTCATCAGTTTAGGCAGGGAGATGTCTTCCTTAATACGAACTTTCATTTTTCTTGTGGGATGTATAGGAGCCCCTGTCAAGTATACTGAAGATGCTCATGGTAGTTACATACATCATACTGATGATACAGTTTTAGGATGGATGTATGTATACACAATCAAGAAAAGAGAGAACTAAGTCTTCCCTTATCTCTTGTTCTTCAGCATTGTCTAAGCTTAAAACTGATTTTCTTATTCTAAACTTTGGATACATGTTTTTTGCATTAAAGACTTACTCATTTTCATTTATTCATTTTTTCAGAAAAGAGGAATATAAGAGATATAAGTGGGAGAGATCAAATTATAGTCTTCCAAAAATCCTTACTGTCTACAAACATTGATTCAGTACCATAACTCCTGAAGCAAAAAGGAAAAGTAATTGTCATTCAGAGGAATTTATGTTAGTTTAAATTAGTTTTAAAAATGTGGCAAGTGTGTTTACAAGGATTGTACAGAAAACAGATGTTCCACCAGGTAAAATCTGATCTGTTTCAAACTGAAATGGAAGGCTTTTAAAAAAAATCCTGTATTTCCTCCATGTATATACATAAACATGAAATGTTGCAATAGATTTTATTTCAATGTGAAAAACTGAAGAAATTTATTTGAAAAATGCCAGTGCAGCGCATTGTTAATTTTTGGTACTTTTCTATCTTCCTATTTTTCAGTAGAATGAATTTTCAGAACAGTAGTGTCAGATGTTGTAGACCATTTTGATTTTGCTGAAACTACACATTTAAGTTGTATCAGTCCTGTTTATCCAAATATCTCCATGCCTTTCTGTTATAGTATATAAAAATTGTGCTTAATTTTAGTACATCACAGTGAAATTTGTGAAAAAATATTTGTTTCTAACTGTATCATTAAAGGAAAAAAAACACTGATGAACTAAACCAGAATGCTATACTGGTTTTAGACAACTTGTGCAGAATCTGTGCTACTGATGAAAAGGAACTTAGAGTGCTAAACTGTGTTAAAGTCATTCTGAATCTTTATACATACATTAAAATATTTTTCTTTGTGGATAGTTCCACTTATTTATGTGTGATTTGTTTTTAGGATGGAAATATTGGTACAAGCTACATGAAAATTTCAATATATATGTAATAATGGCTAAATGGTTTTACTGAAGGAATGCAACTAAAGTAATTTTGAGGTACCAGAAAGATGGTGTTTTGGAAATCACTTTTGCATCATCAGCCCTTGAGAATCATGCTGTACAGCAGGTTGTCCAGAAAAGCAAGACTCTTCTGAAGTTGTTTTGTGTTAACGGCTATTATATGTTTAAAATTTGCACAGAAGCAATATCTGATCATGCTATGGTATATTTTCTTACTAGTTATAACAGCCACTCTGTTTAAGGGTCTAAACCCAAGTTATGCTATTTTTTTTTTTTATCTAATATTAATAAATTTATCATCTCACATATTTGTTTATTTCTGTGTAATTCTGTCCACTATATCAATGTCTTTTATGTACTGATGAGTTCAGAAGTGAACCCAGCCCTCCAGATGTGACCTCACCACGAGTTCAGAAGTGAACCCAGTCCTCCAGATGTGACCTCACCAGTGGTGACCAGAAGAGAAGGATCCCTTGACCTGCTGAAAAGCCTTTTCATAATGCAGCCTGGGATGCTATTGGCCTCGTTTGCTGCAAGGGTACATTGCTAGCTCATGTCAAACTTGAGGACCCCTTACATCCTTTTCTGAAAAGCTGCTTCCCAGCTAGTCTCTCCACAGCATGTACTACTTCCCTGGCACAAGACTTCACATTTCCCTTTTTTGAACTCCATGAGGTTTCTGTCAGACTGTGATCAAATAAATTAGCCGGGCATAGTTTACAGGCATCGTAAATGAAAAATAACTGAAGCTGAGCCCAGTGTTGAATGTTCCTTCTTTGTTGTAATCTTAGCTTCTGCATGTGCAACTGACTAAGTATTAAAAAAATTCTTATGGTGATACATAAAAATAAATAGAAATTTAGGATCATTCAATTTTAGTTTTCCTTCTGTACTGTAGTAGGAACAATGATCTTACTAAGTTTACCTTTTGCTTTACAGACAAGTATTAGGTAAGTCATGCTTATGAACATAATTGACATGTATCAAATAAGCAAGTACAGATTTTTTGAGAGTTATCAAATAAAGTTTTGCTTTTGGGTTGTTTTGAGCAGTATGTAATTTTAATTCAGAAAATTTTTCTTCAAAAGGAATTTGTGTCTTCTTCAGTGGGGTAAGAGTTTGCATTCATGAATATTTCTATTAAGTAGCTGTTTAAACAGTTATACGAGGAAACACTGGAGTTTTGTCAATGCATCTTTCAGCTAGGAATGTTATGCAGGTAATATTAATTATTTATTAACATCATATTTGTTTTAATATATAGAATTTTAATTTCTCCATACCCTCAAGCAAGATGATTGTCTAGCAGCATCAAGCATTGTTTTTCTTATTTATTTAATATACATATATATCACAAACAACTAAAGCTAGCTTATTTTGATTGTAGATAACCTTTGCATTTCCAGAAAATCTGCCATGCCCCACCTTTCCTGAAAAGAAAGGTTATGCCCAGCCTTGCGTCTGTCTCAAACAAGCTAATCCTGATCTTTCTTTTGTTTGTTTTGTTTCCATCATAGGAGTCATCAGGACTGCCTTGCACAACATGGACAGGGAAGCCAGAGAGCATTATTCTGTTGTGATTCAAGCCAAAGATATGGCTGGACAGGTCGGAGGGCTGTCAGGGTCAACAACTGTAAATATCACACTCACCGATGTCAACGACAATCCACCCAGGTTTCCTCAGAGTATGTACAATTTCAGTATATAATTGATTTGAAAATTGTGTTGATTTTCAGTGGAGTAAGAAGCTATTAATGAAATCCAGTTAGTATTCAGATTCATGGGGGAAGTTAGTTCAGTAGGTGTTTGACTTCACCAATGTTTTTGAGTTTTTCAGGGATTTTAGAAACACAGCAATGGCATAACAAAAATACTGAAACCTTTGAAGACTGCTTTCAAGTAATCACTGAGAAAGAGTGAAATGGGTGACAAAGGAATATCCTTGTCATATAAGTGTTATTCCCCAGTCCTTTTTTAACGTATATTTCAATAACTGTGTGATTTTTGTCCAAGAAAGGAGTTACGTTGTTACCATGGTAGACAACAACGAAAAGATTGAATACATCATGCCTTTGGCTGCTTCCGTACACATCTATCAATTTTTTTCTTCTGTTTCTCTCTCTATACACATGCAAACTTTTAAGATCCCTTTTTATACTACAGATGGTCTAAACCTAAACTATTTCTCACTGTTGTTGAGCTCTGGTGGATTATGCCTTTCTCCTTGTTAAATGAGTTGTTGCTGATGTCAAACTGAAAGTTCTCACATGCATATATGGAAAGTATGTGCTAGTATACTCTTAGAATATCTTCATATGGCCACTAAGAGAAAGTTCAATTCTGTCCAACCAATTGTGTGGTTTCTATCCAACTCGTGTGCACATTGATCTGACACAGCAGCTGGAGTCTTGTAGGAATTCTGAATTCAGTCAACTATTTATAAGTTTTCTGGAAGGTAATTGCATTGCTAAACTTGCTTTCCTTTGCAGATTGGCTCAAGGCCAATAAAAATAATGTAACTTGGACTCAGACATTGTGTGAGCCCTTGTAGAACATAATGGACTAGTAGGTATAGGTACATCCACCATGAAATTCATTAAGCTGTATGAATGAGAAGATTTATAAACAATAATAGAGATTGAAAAGCTCCAGAGGAACACAAGGCTCCCTGGCAATACATATTATCTAAAATCTGGTCAAGCAGTAAAAGGCTCATTGAAAGTGTTGTAGAAATGAGTATTTGTTCTGTGCTGCACCAATATATAAAAACATAAAGCCTTTGAAACAGCCTTAAATAAAGTATATTTAGCTTTATATTCCACAGAATTATCATTGCATACATCACTCCATTTAATGCTTCCTAACAATAGAAAAGGTGGAAGGTAAGGCATATCCTTGAACAAATATAAAGTCTAAAGTGGTTGAAGTGGAAAAAATGTCTCCTGCAAACTCAGAGACAAATGGATCTTACCAGTTTTCAAGAACTGGCCATTTTTACTTTGAATTGAAGGCATTGGATGTTATACTGACTGGCAGACAGAACTATACCTTGGCACATGTATCTCTTTATCATTGTTCATATTTTTTCAGAAATTAAGAAAATATAAAATGTTAAAGTTATATTCTATGTGTTTTAAGGAATACTAATAATTGCAGAAAGTAACACCGAAAAGTACAAAACATCATTTCACATTTAATGAAACCTCATTATTCAACAAACTAAAGTAAAAAATTTATCATTTACGATTTTTAACAGAAAATATTAATCCTAGAACAAGTCTTTCAGAGTATGAACTTTTGCTTTATCTTTCCTTACACAGGATTCATATACCACAGTTATGACTGTAGCGTTGTTTTACTCCTTTTCAACAAGTATAATTTGAACTCTGCAAAAGAATGGTAGCTATACGGTAGTAATAAAGAATGAAAGCATAGTCAATCTAAAGCCAAGCCATTTTTGCATCATGAACTATTACAATAGTACACGAGTATCACACTAATAGAAATAACTTCATTGTTGATTTTTCTTTTCATTTCTTTTTATGCCATGATTTTCAGTTCAATTTCTCTTCAATTTCCTTATTAGATGGAATGCTAAATAAGACTTACTGAGGCATGTCATATTCAAATTTGAATTCAAGGGAAGTGCTAACCAAAACTTCATATATCAAGTATATACCCCTTGGGACAGGCTGAACCTCAGCTACACTACAGACTCTTTTTGATTAGTTTCCTTTTCTCCATGACTGTGCTTGTGAGTTTTGAATCTGACTCTAACCATATGAGTACTTTCCTTGAGAACATGCTGGGAAACACATCTGGTTGATGCTTTTCTTATTTGTTTTATTTAGAAATATGCTTTGCTGTACATATTTAAAAGATCATATCTTTCTATCAGTGTTCAGTAGAGATTTATATGGGTTAACATAGGCAGGATTTGTCCCCCTTAAGGAAACATTTTAAAAATCTATTTAAAATGTAGAAATAGAGGTTGTAAATATATCTGCTTAAATGAATTCACTGTGGGTTTTTTCTGTACTCTAAATATAGCTGACTTTCTTTCAAAGAAATTACTAACAGAAGAGCTGCAGTTTTCCAAAATACCAAAAAGTCTAGAAGAAAGAATATGAGGCATTACTGTATAATTTTATCTGTCTGATGGTTGCAGTTCTGAAACGCATGGTAATAATAATCTCTGTAGTAGGAAACAACTGAAAAATTCTGCTTGCGAAACACAGTAGTATGTCTCAGGACTAGGCACAGGGTTGTGAATTCAGCACGAGAATAACCTGAAACCTCATATACATTTCGCTTATCAATTACTTCAGTGCGTCTTGTACAGTACTGACTTTTTTTTCTTCATTACCACACATTTCCTTTCTTTAGAGTGTCTAGTTATAAATGAACTATCAATTTAATGTAAGCTGACAGACAGTGCTTTGCATGGGTAGAATTCTGCTTTTCAATAATCACCATCACTCAGTTCTTGTTCTTGTACCATTGATGGAGGATGGCTGAGGCCCCTAATTTCATGGTCATAAATTTATTTCAGTAATTTGATAGAAAATGTTCTATCTACTGATGACACTGTTATCAGCCTTGAGTTACATCAGAATTTTCTGTATACTTTTCTTTCATTAATTCTCTCTGGTCTTGTTCAGGATGAATAGATTCTGCATGTTTTGCTTTTGTTAGGATGAATAGATTCTGATTGCATCAAGATCATCACACTAGACAGATGCTTCCACTGACATGTTTTGTACATCAAATGCTAATGATTACACCCTGGACAGTGTGTAGAAGATCTTTAGGTATTGTGGTTAGCATCTAATTTTACAAGAAAATTATTCATAGATTTTGTTTTTTGATACATGTTACTCAGTTCTTTAGGATAAAGCAGAATTTAAGTACAAGTCGTGGCTTAAAACATTTTTGTAAAACTTGATTGCTGAAGCTTGGTTGTTCCATGGAAGTATATAGACATAATGTGAATTAATGTATATGCGTAATTAGTTTGACATCACTTTTTACAGTATCATTGCGTGAAAAGTACACAGCCGTGTTTAAATAGGAATATTATATGAAGATACTCCAGTTAGTTCTGAAAAAGTAAACTCACATCCCAAAAGTAGACATTACTCTGTTCCGTGATAGTAACGTGTCTACTATCCAGCCTTGTTAATATCATTCATTAGCTAATCAAGTGCAAAGGTTTCTGGTGTTCATTTTCTTTTAGAATTTATACTCCAATATGGTCCTTTCCGTATCTACAGTTCCACATAGTGCATCCAGTTCCTATGATCCCCATACATAACCGTTGTCATCTTCTCCCTCTCCACTGCCATGCACTGTAGTGCTGTCCTGTAACTCTGTGGTGACTAGCCCAGACCCATCTGCCTCCTGATTGACTGCTTGGCTGTTGCCAAAGGAGATGAGCAGCAACAAGATTTCTGTTAGTTTCTGCAACCGGTTCACAATTTAGGATATGATATTCTATAATTGTAGTTTAGATATTACCAACAATTTTTATCACAGATGTCTTCCTGGATATCTGAAATAAATACAGATTATAATCATATTATTTGAGTGTTTTTTGCGAACTGTAAGATTTGTTGAGGATTGTTCTTCCATCTTTGTGTTTAGACAAAGTTTTCTTCATAAAGAGCTCGTTGTGTAAATAGTGGACAGGATGAGACTGGTGTGAATGATCAATCTACTGAATCTACTGATAAAATGAGTATCATATATGCACATGCCAGTGGAAATACCACAACTCATATATTTCTAGATGATAAGGAATACAGCAGCCTGTATTAATTTTTGTCCAAAGCAGGTATTACTTAAAAATTAAATGTAGCTTCTTTTTAATATGGTTGTAAAATTCAGTCAAAATAATGAGATTTAAAGGGTCAACTCTCATGAGAAATTTGAGGGCTGTTCAAAGAGAATTCCTTTTGCTGCACTCTTAATACACATCTGGTTAATACTGAGAGTTTTCTGCAAAACTGAATTCTTGCCCGACATTCTAATCTCAGCTAAATTGAGACATAAAGATGAATCCAGAACATATTAGTATATCATCAGGCAATCTTAAATAACAGAGGAACTTTCATATAAAAAACCATTGAAACAATTACTCATAACCTAGAAGTTTCATTTAATCTGATGTAACTAATATTTCAATATAGAATTTTAATATTATATGGTAACTGCATTAATCAGGTTTTAGTTATTTGCATAAGGAAACAAAGATAGCGAAATTTCCTTCTGTTAAGAATGTTGTTAAGGCTGTGTTTAAGGTTGCTGTAAAAATCTGGCAGTGTATATCATGGGGTGTACACATTTTAGAAGCTGTATTCTTAATTAAAGAAAAGAGCTATTAAATTTGGTTATAGTACATTCCCATAATAATCATGTGGCATAATTCTGGTGCTAGCAAGTATTTTGCTTCTCTCATATTATTAACAGCAGAGAATTTTTTCAAGTAATTGTGTTTATAAAGTGTGTGCTCAGGTTCCAAAGTGAATGACCAGTGAGTACACTGATTTTCTGCCTTTACGGAGAGGCATCACAAGTAAATGTGAAAGCCCGTGGAGTGTTGTTCTTTGTTTAGAAATGCCTAAAAAGTATCACATCAGAAACTTAATGTGTGGCAGGTAACTATAAGCAAGCAAGCTTCCATTTCTGTCAATTTTCAGAACGCAAGTTTCTTCTGACTGTGACAGCCAGGAGCATATGTAAAGGTGAAAAATGCTCATGTTCCCGGTGAAGGTGTGTGACTTGAATGCGTCAGGCCAAGAAACAACAGCTGTTAATCATAGACATAAGATAAATATGGTGCTGTTTTGATTCTCCAGAAGTATTTAAAATCACCTAACAAGTCTGCTGCACAAAGACAATGGGCTGTTCAAAAAGTAGCTAACATCAATAATGTCCTATGGAAATTGACTGCTAAAAGGGACAAGAATCAGTGATCTGAGTGAATTTCTAAGATTTTGCTTATATTGTTTCTTTCTAACATGTTAGAATCAGTCATCAGTCTACGATGTGCTTAAAGAGATGGACTTGTGAGAAAAGAATACGTTATTTAAGAGATGATGAGTACCCAAGAGTGTTAAGATATGAGAAATAAAGCATCTGTGTCTTTGAGTGAATGCTTCCACAGACTGGACAAATATTATGTACATATGCTGCAGCGGTTAAATACTCATTGGGAGACATTTCTGACCTCATGATCTAGGAGTTTTTATTTTTTAACAGTATTCTTTTTAATCCATCCATTTTCTGGAAACATTTCACTTCTACAAACACTGACAGATAATTAATGAGTGATTTCAAATATTTGTTTTGCTTGAGGTTTTAGTATTTCAGAATGTTTGAAGCTGGTATCAGTAGAATGATTTTCTGAGACAGGTGGCTAACACTTGGTGTGTGATTATAAAGCAGAGCATAGTGTCTAGTGGATATATTTGAACTAACTTGACTATTTGTAAGTCTCTAATTAGTTCACCCTATCATATGGATTATAATGCTTCCAGGTCCTGAAGTGGCCTGATTATATAACATATTCCTCAGGGCCCCTAGATAACACATTCTTTATGGCCTCGACCTTTTCCTTTTTGGAATGCATTAGTCAGAGCAAAAGTGTCAAAAGACCACATTTCACATTTATTTTAGCAATAAATAAATTCCAAAATTAATCTCATCCCTTCTCTATAATTTAATGTATGAAATAAAGCAACCAGCAATATGAAAGTGTCAGTAGACATCATCTGTAAGCACGAAGCATTGCAAGAGAATATATTTCAGAGCATTCATTCGAAAATTTTTGAAGATGGCTTTTATACGCATATTAAATAATTGCACCAAAGAATTAACTGTGTGTTTTAGTTCAATCAACTACTAAGCAATTTTCCTATGACATCAATGTTGCTATTTTCTTTTTTGCATGATAAATTATACTTTTTCTGTTGTTCTCCTGGACATTTCTTGTTTCCCTTGAGATTTCACTAATACGTGGTAGCTGAGGTTTTGTTTTCCTAGGGAACCTCTCTATCTTTTGGACTGACAGAGTTTTGTGCACTTGTCCATCCTTCTCACACAACTGTTTATGTATTAGAATTACATGCTAGTATTAAAATAACAACTGAAGATTTTAAATAGGTTTAATAACAACCATGCAAGGAATTAGACAAATTTGCTTGGTATGTGCACACCTTCTACTTACTATGCATTCTCCTTTTCTGTACTGGTAGATTTCATCACCCCTGCTGTGTTACACCACCAGCATTATTGGAGATTTCTTTGAGCTGTCTTTCTGGCCTAGTTTCAGACAGAAATTGAGGTTCATGTAATCACATTGTGTCTGTCTGCCACTTTTTTCTCCTTGTGGCATCTTCCTGTCCCCCATGTAACTTTGTATCTGTTAGGAGATTTAATCTAGAAGGACTCAGACACCTAAAAAAATAAATTAAAAAAAAATCTAATAATTAACCTATGAGGTTATAAGAACACTGAAAGGAGGTCATAGTTGTTATGGATGCTTATTATGGGCACAGTTGTGTAATACTTTCATGTACCCTTTATGTTCATTTTCCTTTAGCAGGGATACCAATTAAATTTCTTTGTAAATTGTTTTCTGCTGCAACAAAAACTTATGAAATGGTAATGGTAAAATATTAAGATTTATTACATTTGTCTGTAGAAAAAAAAATAGGTATTGATTGAATATTGGAAAGTGTTGAAGCGATGTTTCAAAACGGATCAGATTTCAAAAAAATAAATTACATATATAACATACAAAGATTCTGCAGTTCAAAAGTACTCATTTAACTATTCATTTGGTGGCAAGTTGGGTAAGATAAATGTATTTTGGTTACAGAGAAGATAAACTTTTAAAAATAATTGTGTTAAGTAAGCTTCAGAGTTAATTTCTGTGTTATGTCATGAACAGCAAAAGAACCCTGTGAAAACCAAAACCCTGTATTAAGTAATTTGGATTTTGAATAGGGAAAGAAAAAATAAAACACAATTCCTTCCTGAATTCTGTCAGGAATCTAAGTAAGTTTATAGGTTTATTTGTCAGTTTCGCATATGAAATATCCTTCCCTTTACTCAAAGTGTATCAAGCACATAAAGGTTCTCTAATTTCCTTTGGCTAGAGAATGTCCAAGCTATTGTGTTTTGTTGTTTGTTTTGGTTTTTTTTTTTTTTTCTCAGAACATTATCAACTTTATGTTCCTGAATCAGCTGAAGTTGGATCAGCAGTTGGCAAAATCAAAGCAAATGATGCAGACACTGGTTCAAATGCAGACATGAAGTACACAATTATAAATGGTGATGGCTCTGGGGTGTTCTCTATATCTACTGACAAAGAAACAAGGGAAGGAATTCTTTCCCTGAAGAAGGTAAGCAAGAGACTTTGAAAGTTCTCTATGTATGTAATTAATGAATAAGCAGATACCATGATGAAAATATTTTACTGTGTAAAACTATGGAACCATGAACTTCAAAAGAGTAAGTTTCTCCACACTGCTTGCTGAGACACTTTAAATCTTTGGAGGAAGGGCAGGGGTAAAATAAATTCAAGGAAATAAAGTGTTATTTAAAACTTTTATGCTTTTGGGATGTTTGTATCTAATATTTATAAATAGTTTTGCACAATAGGTTTCTTTGAAATAAGAATCATAGAATCACAGAATAGTTTGGGTTGGAAGGGACCTTAAAGACCATCTAGTTCCCCCCCCCCTGCCATGGGCAGGGACGCCTTCCACTAGACCAGGTTGCTCAAAGCCTCATCCAGCCTGGCCTTGAACACTTCCAGGGATGGGATATCCACAGCTTCTCTGGGCAACCTGTTCCAGTGCCTCACCACCCTCTCCATGCAGAATTTCTTCCTGATATCCAACCTAAACCTCCCCACTTTCAATTTAAACCCATTACCCCTTGTCCTGTCACTACAGGCCCTTGTAAAAAGTCCCCCCCAGCTTCCTTGTAGCCCCTTCAGGTACTGGAAGGCTGCAGTAAGGTCTTCCCGGAGCCTTCTCTTCTCCAGGCTGAACAAGCCCAACTCTCTCAGCCTGTCTCCATAGCAGAGGTGCTCCAGCCCTCTAAGCATCTTTGTGGCCTCCTGTGGACTCGCTCCAACCGGTTTATATCCTTCTTGAGTGCAAAAGTAAAATTTGGCTGAAAGTTGTACTGTTGTTCCCAGACTGCATGACTCTTGATATAGAAAGTTTATCTGTGGCAATGAAAATATAATTAATTTTTCATAGAATTATATGGATTCTATGATATTCATATATTTCATAGTTCAAGTCAAAGTTATTCTTTGCCTTTCTTGCCAGCTGGCATCTAAAGAGGCAAGTATTCTGCTCTGTGTAGTATAAATATTGACTTGCTTATGAAGATTCAAAAGGTAACTGGCCAAGCCAACTATCACACAGTTATAATTTATATGAATTTCCTATATTTATCCCAGTGTATTTAAACTATTAATTATAAAGTGTTCTTACCATTTAATTTCATTCTTAAGTGAATTCTGTGCACAATTCTAATTCCATAGATAATTTAATCACCATATTAAATCCTCTGAACTAAATTCATTGTGAATGTTTCCTGAAGTCTCTGGCAATTTATGCTAATATTCTATTCCTAGATTTAAGTTTACTCTTATAATAACCCAGAGAGTTGGGTTAATATGTTTAAGTATTTTTTTAAAATCTTTCCAGCAGAAGGAAATAATTTCCTGGTTTCAGTTTTCACTTGGACTAACAGACATCTATTAGCCATTCTCAGGTGTATTTGTTGTTACTGAGTCTTGTAGGCAATACTTAGATCCATGCAACCTAAATAATAAAAGTGAATTTGTATTCTTGTTTAGTAATATATATTCTGTCCCTGATTACCAGTAGGAGTAATGAAAAACAGAGAAAATATGGGAAAAAGGAATAAATAAAAGCTATTATAAAGAATGATTTTTTTGTGTGAATAGATATATATGTAAGTAAATGTTTTGTAACTGAAGGAAATATTATTTTTATAATCCATAATGATTCAAAAAGGCTTTCTGTCCCTCCCAGTATCTTAAAAATTATTAATTCAGTCTCTTTTATAAAGGTTGTATAATACCCACCTCTTTCAACCACATAAGAGTTAAATTCCATCTTTTTTATACTACTGAAGCTATTTCCTGGTGGCCTTGATGTAGCTAATGCCATAAAATCTTATTTCTTAAATATAAGCAATGTTCTCTCTTTAAAAGTTCACCATGATTATTGTTCATTAAATACAATATTCATTCGTATTGAGGGCATGAAGTAGAAAGGAAGAATTTGCAACAAAATTAAAGAATGCATGCATAAAATGTATAAAATCACATTTCTTACTCATTTTGGCAGACAAAAAAAGCTTCAGATAAATTTTCACTATGTTTTAGAATATGACAAAAGCATATGTTGCCTGTTCTTATAAAAACACATGACAGTGAGTCATCTTCCCTTCAAGATAAGAAGGGGCACATTTGCTTAGGCAATGTCATTTTTCAGTTGAGCAGAAATTCAGCACTTAAAGCTGCATAAACTGGTGTGGAATACCTCCATTCCTTCCTCGAAGAAGTTATATCCCCTTGTAGAGTATAAAAAAGTAATGTCATTTTTTATGTAGGTAAAATCTCATTTAAAATGTCAGCTTTTTCTAGTTCTCTGAATTAATTATTCTTGTATTTCTAGACTAAAAAAAAAAAAGTGTTGATACTGTCTGACTTAATAGCTACACAAAAGAAAGAAAACAAGACTTTATACTGCATTATTCCTTGTGTATTTTCTGTGAGAAATTAATCTTCATATACAACCTAATCAAATCATTGTCAGTATAAACTTCAGTTAATTTTCCAAAAAGACATCATAGTTACAGTTTTCAATCCTAACCAATCCTACCAGCTACTGTGAAGGAAATTAACTCTGTCCTCACTAAAACCAGCACATTCGTAAACTTTTTAAATCTTAGAATATGTATGTTGCAGACTAATACAAATTACTATTTCTCTGCTTATAACAGAAATACAACATAATGAAGAACATTTGAGTTAGAATTTATTAAACTTCTATTTCTTTATGAACTGGTATTAATTTGAGTAGTATACTTAGCTCTTATTTTATATATATATATATAGTAAAAGTTTTATCAGGCTATGCTAAATTTCCATGTCTAAAGTTTTTATTTATACATTCAGGAAGGAGAGACAGAGAAAGGAAAAGACAAAAAAAATCTCATGCTACTAGAGTTAAGAGAATGAATTAATTGTCCTTCAGTACATAGAGGAGAAATCAAAGAAGTATATGGCACATATAAATCCTGACCAACTATTTTTCTTATACAACATCAGTCACATTTACTGTAGATTTTATCTATAAAACACACACTGACATTGACAAATCACACATTGAATTTATCATATTTCTTGCCTTAAATACTACTTTTCCACTCTTTGGGGTGATAAGAAATACCAGTTTAGCTTCAGTCAAAGGTTTGAATACTTGTACTAAGTTCTGTTGAGGCAGGCTGTCAGGTCCATGCAAACTAATACTGGTCATAGTGGAATTCTGCCATGCCATAATTTGATAATACTTTCTATTGTAAAACCAAAAATTCCACGTGTATGCAATTCTTTTAGTGTTACGCCTGTTTCCAATACTACTGGAACCTTAATGGTAGCATGTACACCTGTATACCAGCTTCTACCTGCTTCGCTCGGTGTAATTATAAATATTAGCCTATCTTGTTTCTTTATAAATTGGCAGGAGCCAGAAATTTGTCACCCAGTAAATACTGAGGTGTTTATTACCAAGAAAGACTGCTTTTGCTCAGCATAAAACCACATTTAAAAAAATGAAATCTGAAACTTTGAAATCTGTTCTATGACTGCGTGGTCTAGCATGTTTTCAATAAACAGGTAAATGACCACTCTTCATGCTTCATGTCCTCTTGGGTTTACTTGTTTCACAAAACCTTGCATAACTTAATGGAAGTGCAGAGAGATACTGATAAAAGTTTAAAAAATTGCAACAGGGGTTCTCCCTGATACTTCTGTTTTTAAACAGCTTTGGTCCTGAGTGACTTATTATGTGGTAGCTCTGTCAGGTTTTTCTCCCATTGGATTGTTGTCATCATTGCAGTCTGTCCCTACAGTCAGCATAGTGCAGTTTTGGACCAAGGGACTGGCTTAGACTCTACCTGGAAAGTGGGTACATTGTAAGATTGCCTAAGAGTTCAGAAGAGACCGAGATTCATTTATATATTTATCGTTCTCTGCAAAATCAAGATAAAGGTACTTATAAACGGAGGTAAATACAAGTTCTGCAGCACTATGACTAATACATCTTTTGACACTGATTATGAGTTTTGAGATCAGCTTCTTAAAATGTCTAATGCATCTAAACAACTGGTATTTTTGAAAACATTTCAGTAATCAAAATTGATGTACAATATATAGAAAATAATAAGTTCTCACATGAAATTCTCAATGGGCTATCTATGAAAAGTAGTCAGTTACTTCAGTGAGACTGAAGAAACCAACTCAAAATAATCGTGGTCTTATAAATGGCTTCCAGTAAGAACATTGCTTAATTCTGTATCTCTTAATGGAAGTTCATTACTTGCATACTTTTACGTTAAATATCCGTTTAGTCCCCTCTACTACATAACTCTCTGACACTGGAGGAGTTGAGGACTGAGCGTGTCATGCTTACCTTACAATTTGCATAAAACATTGTAGTAGTATGCTAATGTAGGAATAAAATAAATATGTTTAAATTGAAAGTGGGTAGATTTAGATTAGATATCAGGAAGAAGTTCTTCATGGAGAGGGTGGTGAGGCACTGGAACAGGTTGCCCAGAGAAGCTGTGGATGCCCCATCCCTGGAAGTGTTCAAGGCCAGGCTGGATGAGGCTTTGAGCAACCTGGTCTAGTAGAAGGTGTCCCTGCCCATGGCAGGGAGATTGGAACTAGATGGTCTTTAAGATCCCTTCCAAGCCAAACCGTTCTATGATTCTATGATATCAAGTCAGTAAATTTAGTTCACAATAAATGAAAGCCAGCTGAACAAACTTTCACATGTGTAAATATCAGGCTAGAAATGGGAGTCCTCCAAGAAAGTATTCATGGTGTGTGATATGAGTCAGACATCCAACTTCTTCCTTCCCAGTAGAGAGATATGATTCCTAGTAGGAATCTGTTTATTCAAATAACAGCATTCTTCAAGTGGCAGTGGAGCATCTAGTCGATGGTACAGCTGGGGTTTGCCTTCTATTGGGTTTTATTGGAACATTAGGCCCTGTAGAAGGCATACCCCCAACTGCAGACTTTCTTCCCATTTATGACTGCATAATGCATGTACAGCATAGCAGTACATAGTGAGACAGGCTGAAGAGTTGTCTCACTGGTGTTGGTGAAGAATTTAAAAGAAAATGGTCTAGCATATAGGGATTAGAAAAGATTTCAGATTACAAAAGCACACAAGCACATGTTTAAGCTATTCTTAAGCACTTAAGTTCCTGTCTTTTATGAGAACTGAGTGTTTTCCTGCAAGGAGTTGCTTTTTTCGGCTTAAAATAAAAGAGAAGACACGTCCAAAAGAACTTTCGTATCCCTATCACTGTAAATTAAACACGTTAACTAATGATATGAAGTTAATTTAATTTGGAATACATCAGTGTCTACCTTTTTCAGTATTTAGCATTGACCAACAAGAATTGAAAGGGGATAGAATTCAGAGACTTTACATTATCACAGAAGAAGAATCTGATGCTCATTCTAAACCTTGAGTTTTTCCAAAACTGGTACCTTGCCCACAGTTCTGTGGCAGAGAAAACCTGGATCCATCTTGCTTCACGTGTATCATTCTACTTACAAAGTATGGCAATGGCTGCCAGAATGTCACAGAATATTCTGCCTTTCCAGTAACATGAAGATATATGCTTTAAATTGAACAGAAAATGTTAGTTAGCTTGCTAGCAGGTTACACTGAAGCACAGAATGGTATTGATAAATCTTTTTTCTGTCAACAGCCACTCAACTATGAAAAAAAGAAGTCATATACACTTAATATAGAAGGAGCAAATACTCACCTTGATTTCCGCTTTTCACACTTGGGACCATTCAAAGATGTAACAATGTTAAAGATCATTGTGGGCGATGTGGATGAACCTCCACTCTTCACTATGCCTTCCTACGTCATGGAAGTCTATGAAAATGCGAAGATCGGGACTGCTGTTGGCACAGTAACGGCACAAGATCCTGACACTGCCAACAGTTTAGTGAGGTACAGTAAATCCAGATTATATAGGATTGGATTCCACTGGCTAAAGGGTTAGTGAGATCTGGAATGTTGGGAACTATGTCTTTTATGTTAGTACACAAATGGAAACATAGGTCAGAACAGTGTCATGTTCAGTATGTACGGATTAGGTTTAGCAACATAATACTGTTGTGATCAACAGTCCGTGTGCACTAGTTCCTGTAACAGCACCTCTCCAAACAGCACACAGAACAAGGTCAGTGTATGTTACCACATCATGTAAAAAGTTGCACTTCACTAGTCTGCTGCCAGTCAATATCCTGCCTCTAGTAAATCTGTTCAGGATCATAATACTTTTTTCCCCCTGTCATGCTGGCCCTCTCCACACTTGCCACACTGTAGTATTCCCAGGTGTTTCTACAAGACAGAAACTGGTCTAGGTATGCCTTTTCTCATAGACGTGCAATATAATTCTTGCAAAATTGTGATTGAGGACAAAAACATTATTTTTTAAAATGCTTCACTTCTAGTGTGATCTCAAAAAAATAGAATTAGTGTAATAATGCACCCCACTGATGTTGCTGGGGATATGTCATGTCATTTCCAGTTGCTAGGTCTAGGGCAAAGAGAAGTGCTGATAATCAAGCTCTTTCAGAACCAGATACGTAATTTGAAAGCTAAATGAATATGTAGCCTACAAAGAAGGAAAAAAATAGTCTTTAAAAGGCTTTGATAGTCTTTTGAATTAAATTAATTCTTAAATAAAATGTTTAAAAAGAAATACAGGAAGGAAAAAAAAAAAAAAAGGAAGGTTTCTGTGTTGCTGCTCTGGCCAGAATACTTCATATAGTAACAGAACTGACTTGGAAATCAATCATACTCTGAACTAAGGAACTGAAATCAAGCTGGAAATACCACCACAAGCAAGCTTGAAAAAGCATTCATGCCAGAAATATATATATATATATGGATATGGATTTCTTCTAAATATGAGTGTTTCAATTCAGCCTTGAATGCTTTGGTATTGGGTTTGCATTCGTTATTGGTTTAGCATAAAGTTTTCAGTTCCATGTTTTCAGCTTTAATAGGATCCAGTGACGTTTTTTACTGTCTTCATTTGTGAGATGAGTTACTTTCTATACTGACATGTAATGTGAGTGTACATGAATGTTTGACTCAAAGGTTGTAAATGTTTCAGAAAAAAAATTCTGCATGAATACATATTTGATCCTATTCCTTTTTATGATATAATGGTATAACCTTTGTGGAAATCATATGAGTATATACTTGGAAAAGAGTTTTTCTTAAGCTAATTGGGCATTTTTAGACTCTTGACAGAGTTGAAATCTGCTGGGTATGTATAATAGTCTTGGTAAGATGAAACAATTTTTGCAGAACAATGGAAGCATCAGTTTTTTATGGTTCTCTTCTGCTAATAGTCTAAGATTCAAAATGTTTTGTGTCAGACAATCAATATATACTATTTCTTAGTGGCAAGTTATTGCCTTTGAAAAATTGCCACTATGGTATTTGTGTCTAAATCGTAACATAAATTAGAAAATTTCACTAAAAGTAACTGTCAAGTGCCTGTAGCTTTAATACTATATTTCCAAAACCGCTGCTAAAACAGTCAGTCAGATTAGCTGTCATGGCACTTTGGGAGTAGGAAGGACAAGTTCAGATTTGACTAGTTCCTCCATAAAGCCATCTGTGGCCCCTAAGAGTTTTGTCTAGAAAGGGGTTAGACAACCGTGGTAAAAGGGAAGCAGCCATATGTACAAAGGCTGGGAAGGCCAGAAATAGATTTTCTTGGAGATAAAGGGGTTGGATGGAAAAACATTTCCAAATATTTTGCTTTTTCTTTTGGTTTGTGTGTTTGGGTTTTTTTTTTCCCCCCAAACAAGAATTTATAACTAGTGATTTAGGCCAGAATATTAAATATCCATATTATTCAAATATTTGAGGAGAAAAAATGTCCTTACCTTTGTCTATGCTATGTTTTTCCCCCACTGACATTTATTTTTGCATTGTCCCTTCCATCTCTCTCTGTTCGATAGGGAAAAAATAAAGTGCTAGCAAAATGTACTGAATCATGAAGCTCTGAAATGAGCCAGCCTTCTGTTACGTTAGAGGGGTTCAGCACAGGCAGTAGCAGCTCAGATATCCTTGACATATCATTATATTCTGACCTGGTCAGAATGATAAAGCCTCTCTGGCTTTATCCATCTCAATGGAACTGACAATGAGATGCTGATCCTCTCAGGCCTGGATAACACGTTGGTGCATGTGACGCTGAAGAGGCACCAGGCTGGGTTGGTGTGCTGGCAGGTTCTCCTTGTGCCTCCTCCCGCAGGAGGAGAAAGGCTGGGAACAGACAACTTTAATCTTCATTCCTTCACCTCACTTTGCACACAGACACTGACACCGTGCAGAAGTGCCTTGTGTGGCTTAAAGATTTGTCCTCAGCTTGGGAAACCACGAGTTGGAATTGGCGCATGACCTGAGAAGGGGGCCAGGGTGGCTGGGATGAGCTGCTGCTCCACTGTAGGCAGGGTCCTGCCCCACACTCCGCTCACAGCAGTGGGGAGAGGAGCGGCTCACAGGAGGCTGTTTTTCTCGGAAGTGCGCACACAGTGCACTTACGTCCTTCTGTGCTGGTTTGCAAGAAACACCTCCACTGTTCCTCTAAAACCCTGATGAGTCTGAAAGGTAGTTTGAGGGTAATGAGATAACCTCCCACCTTAATTTCCACAAAATTCCAAGTTCATTCAAAATAAAAGTGGTGATTATAAAATCTGGAAGAGTCAATGTAACTTTCTTAGATCACAGTCTCAGTTGCTGTCCAGCTGCTGTAAGAGATACAGTGCTGTGATTTGCTCACTGTCCAGTTAAGAAACACTTTATTTTGGTGGCAGGAATAATTCTTCTAACCAGAATAATTGTTAGAGGGTTAGGTACAGTAACTAACAGTGCTGAAGGGAAATATTTTAAAAAATAAATTATTTGTGCTAACCCACCTCCCCCTCCCCCCCAAAAAACCTAACCTCTATTGTTATCAGTAGAGAGGGGGCTGAAGGCCTTTTTCTCAGTATTTTGTCACTGTGATTTCATCACAGTGATTTCAGCTTGTTCCTGAGCTGAGCAGTCTTCAGAGGGCACTGACTTGGTGCCAGTGACTGTACTACTCTTTTACTTTTTCAACCCCAACAAAAGAACCTCTTTAATAACAAATGTAGCTATTTGAGGTTTCTTATAGTCCAGTATTATCTGGTTAGCAATTTGGGATGTTTGAAAGGATTGTTCTTTTTAAGTTGATTTTTTTATTCTTCAAATAGATAGAAATGCTTTTTCAGGGAAACTTTTAAAGATGCTATGTATTGAACAAATATTATTCTATTAAAATATTAAAAGCACACATGAACATTGACAGCATAAAAAAAAGATATTTAAACTCCAACATGTATTAATTTTAAAGATAAAAATTTTTTGAGTGGTTTGAAAAACAGCCATTTACTTTAAAAATTGTGTGCTAAATCAACAGAAACATCCTAATTTTTATTTCATTCACAGAAATTACTGTCTTGTTGGAACATTTATGAGAAACTAAAACCTTTCATTGCACTGTGTCAAGTAGTCTGTTTCCGTACTGAAATCTTTTGTTGCTTGAAAAGATCTGGGTTAGGTAATGCCTTATAATAACATCTGCTGTGCAAAGGAGTCTTCACAGCTTCCCATACAATAGGAAAGAAAGCATGACTATTAAATGCTCTAATTATAATTTTATTTTACTCTAATATTAATTTTAAATCTCTCTATACTTACATAGAAATTATATTTTTTCTTTCTGAATCCTTACACAGAAGACTTCTGTGGGGATTAGGGGTGAAAACTGCTTTTATTTGGCAGGCTGCATATGTGCACTGGGAGCAGCCCTAGGCTGCTAGTACTGCCTCAGGGCTGCAGTAGCACCTGTTGAAAACCTGCCATCTTCCTGTAGGTTACTCTTGGGTGGTGACCACATCTAGCCACAATGCATACTCCCAAAGATCCTTGGAGCTTTCTTACTGCATCTGCTCTGTTTTCAATGGAGTGGTTTGCAGAAAAATAACGTTGCTGCTGTTTTCCAAGACTTCTCCAAGTTAGTGATTCAGAAAAGAGCAAAGGCATAGTTTTAAGATCATGATACTTTCTGAAACTCTAATAGTGAAAATAGTTTCATGACATGGGCAAGTTCCCTTGTATTAACTTGATCCCAGCTCGATACTGTCCTATGAGGTACTGAAAGTCTATTAACACTATACCCTGGTATTTAAAGTAGTTTTTGAGAAATTAGTCATGCAATTATAGAAATACTGTAACATCAGCTCACTCCTTTTGCTACTGCTGTGTGATCTTTGTCATGCAGGGGTACAGGAGGCAAATCATTTTTTTGAGCACTCATGACAGGGCCTCTGACCTCTCTGGTCATTTTTTACTGCTACTTCTAATGCTTGTCTTAGGCTGTTTGCATTTCTGGGCAGGAATGGTCTTTTCCCAGATATTTAACGGAAGAGTCCTGGAAAAAAGGGGTATGGGTAATGATCAGCAGTGTCAAATGTGTAGTGTCAAATGTTAAGAAATACAAGCACTTTCCCTTTTCAGAATCATGGGTTGGTTAAAAATAACTTTATATTTTGTTAGATCCTTGGAAGGTTGATTAGGTTTTGTTATAGTGATATATTGGAATTCAAAGCATTTTTATATTGGGCCTTAGCCAGTCTGTAATCTACCTCACTATAAAGAACTTTATGCTCTGGGACTTAAATTGATTAGCTGTAGGAAACTGAAGTGTTCTTAGTGCCTTCCTGATGTCACTGGAAAGTGAACTTCCTTCTTCACTGCTCTCTTGACACTACTGCTAAAAAGCACAGAAGAAATAAACATGAAACATAAAGTTGCACATGGTTGGCCTTTTTAGAAAACAATTGTTTTACTTCCAGAAAACACAGAATCAGCCAATGAACAACAAAACAATAAAACCAATG